AAAAAATGAAAAGTATGAATGTTTTCCACAATAACAGTGTAAGTTGGGGACGTTATGTGCTGATTACCCAATTAAAAAAGTTAAGAAATATTCAACGTAAATATATTAATTCAAGTATTAGACAGAGGTGGACGTGGTTTATGTTATATCGATTTTTCCCACAACCCAAACATAATCCAATATGATCAGTTTGATCTAAAATAAACTAATCCTATTCAATTATTGGTTTAAACTGAACTCAATCCAACACAACCCACATCGATTAAGTTTGGGTCAATTTGGGTTGGGTGGGTCGGTTTGGGCTATGGCCCAATAAAAGTTGAATTTGATTACTTTTTGTTGAATTTAGACAATTTTTCAAAGTTTGAAAGTAATTGAAAACCTCCATTTTTTAACACCTATGTAAGGAATTCTTTTTGAAAAATTATGTATAAATAAGTTTAAAATTATCAAGTATTTTCTTTTTTACAATTTTTTGGGATTCATTCATTTCATTATCATGTCCTTAATTTTTATTTTATTGTTAAATAACTTTGCATTTGTGCATAATATTCATTCATTTCGATCAGTTTATGTAAAAACAAATGAACGTTTAAAAATTATAAGTTCTTCTCTTATCTTTACAATTGTGTCTATTTAATTTTTTTATTTTAAATATTTTTTAATTTATCAGGTTGGATTTTAAAAACCAACCCAATTGAACTTAAAAATCAACCCAAATTAATCAATTTGGGTTGGGTTGATTAGATTGACCGATTGGGTTGAGTTTTGTCCAACCTTAATTAGTATATTGATAGAGAATGTTACATATTTTTAATTAAAGATTTTTAAAAGCCTTTATAAATTATGTGGTATTGAAAATTTCAATTACTTTTAAAGATTTTTATAAAAAGTAATGTTATTTATATGCCAATCTAAGTAATAAGAGCATTTCAAAGTGACTCTTTAAATATAAGATACTCTTTATTTAAAAGAGTCAATATTTAAAATCGTGTTCAAAAAAACTCTTTAAATTAACATTTTAATTTAAAGAGTGAGTTTGGCTCTTCAAATTAACAGACTCTTTAAACATGAGATGCTCTCTATTTTAAAGAGTCAACATGTAAAATCATGCTCCAATAGACTCTTTAAATTAAGATTTTAATTTAGAGAGTGGGTTTGGCTCTCCAAATTTGGAGAGCCAAACTCACTCTCTATAATTAAATGCATTCAAAGTGTTTCAATTTTCAATATAGGAAAACAATAAAATAATATAAAAAAAGTTAGTTAAAATAAAAGATAAACAAAAATAATAAATATTTTTGGGGAGTAGTAAAATTAAGTGTTAAATATAAAGAGTTTGTTGGAGTACTTCAAAATTTGAACTCTCTAAATTTATAGATACTCTCCAAATGATAGAATATGCTCTTTGAAAATAAAGAGTCTCTTGGAGATACTATAACAATAATTATATTAAATTACATGTTCAATTAAATACATAAGGATGATAATAAGGCGAGTATGAGAAGGGTCGATCATTCACACCTTCGTCCCATTTGGTATTTTTGTCAACTTATCCCGCTCTCATACCCAATTATAGTAGGACGAGATGAGACAGGGTTCTGGGCGGGACAAGTCCCCTCCCCGTTTATCGTTCTTCTATTTTTATTTTTATGTTTTTAGTTAATAAATATTATTATTTATTTTTCAATTTATTAAGAACAACTCATGTTCTATTTAAAAATGATGATCAATCTTTTATTTTTATTTGATAAAAAAATTAAATTTTAAATGGGACATGAACTATATTTCTCGTACTCATCTCCATATCCGATTCAGGACAATAACTCTCACACCATCCTGTTTACCTAGTTAGGAGAGTAATCTTCTATGCCATTTCGGACGGGGCTCGTGCTTATCGAGGAAACGAATTTTTTTGCCATCCTCGTAGATACAAGGAACTATGATCACTCATATATATATATATTCTTTTATGAAAATCATTAAGGTACTAGCCTTGCTGCAAAAAGTATAAAAACAAAAATGAAAAACATGTATCTTATTCACTCAAGATTTTAGAAGATTTTCACAAAGATTTTTTTAATATTTATTTTTTTATCATTTTAATATTGTATGTCATCTTTCCTTCTACGAATATTAGAATCACGATTAAAAGTTTATTATTTTTTCTTCCACTCATTATATGTTTTCAATTTTTTTTCTTTTTTATTATTTCTCTTCATTCTCGACGAAAAAAGATTAAATTATAATTAAAAAATCTTATTATTGTTGCTAATAAATAGGGTTATTAGCGCAAAACGTCTCTAGGTGTTTATTGGGAAACACGTCCTCACCTTTCTTTTTTTATATTTTCACTCATAGTTACACATTTTATTGCTCAAATCATCATTTTCATTAATTTTCATCCAATTTCTCAATAAAATGATGTGAAATAACGAATATACCTTGTATTTAAATAAAACAAAACAAAATTAAAAAATTAATGGCACCATACTCCCAAATTTTTAAAAAAGTATAAACGAGTCTCAAAATAAATTATTAAAAAAATAATCACTTTCTTCCTCCTTCCTCTTCCTCCTCCTCCTCCTCCTCCACCACCACCACCACCACCACCACCCGATTTCAAATCCGAAGATAAGGTTCCACAGGCCACACTATCACTCATGCCTCCAGTTCTAGAACACGAAATGCTCGATTCACAGCCGATGACTCCAACACAGGATTTCTCAAGGCAATCGTCGTTGATTCTAGAGCATGTAAAATCTGAAGTGCAGTTGCTGAGAAAGCAAGAGAGTTGAAATTGATGCTACCCTATCTCATGCTATAAAGAAAAGGGAAGTCGAATGGTTAGACGGTGTACTGAAGAAATACTTAAGAGGATGAGATTTTTCCAAGTTTAGGCGAAACCCTATTTCTTGCCTATTCGTCGCTACCTTTGGTCGCCTCGTCTTCATTGGACTCGAATGGTAAGCATATGTTGTTTGAGAAACTATGCCCCCTTTTGGCACTCATT